CTAAAATGTAACAACCTAAATGATATTGACTACCAATTACTAAAAAACTCCTCAAAAAATTGTTCATGGTTTTGTATAAATTGCTTATCTAGTATATTTCCCTTCAATAACGAAACTATAACTGACAATGAAAATTTTACTAATGTCGATACTAAAATTAATGAAACTTATCTAGTATCAGATTTTCCAATAGAGAGCCTCCACTCAATCTTTAACACATTTAATACACATATTGATAACAACAACAAAACTGAAAAAATCTTAATAAACAGTTGTTATACTAATGTTGATGATTTAAAATGTATAGCAGCTGACAAATCCTCATTCAATATCTTTCACATCTATATCTCATCACTCTCAAAACATTTTGAAGACCTTAAAAATCTACTCCAATCAACAAAACTTGAATTTGACATAATTGGTATATCGGAAACCAGATTGAATAAAAAATACCCACAAACTAGAAAATTAACACTTAATGGGTATTCCTATGAACACACACCATCTGAATCACATGCAGGTGGTGCATTATTATACATTAATAACAGGCTCGCCTATAAACCCAGAAACGATCTCCACATCTATAAACCTAAAGAATTAGAATCTATCTTCATTGAAATTAAAATGGTTGTGTTTACCGACATCCAAAAATGTCTTTAGACAACTTCATATCCTTCTATTTTAATCCGTTACTCAGAAACCTAACAAAAGAAAATAAAACTGTATTTATTTTAGGGGATTTCAACATTGATTTGTTAAAGTGTGACATAGATTCATATGCAGAGACTTTTTAGACTCACTCACCTCAAACTACTTCCTACCTCACATTGTCCACCCTACTCGTATCTGTAAAACATCAAAAACATTAATTGATAACATCTTTTCAAATATTAAATCAAATAAATATAATGCAGGGAATCTTACCACCACAATCTCAGATCATCTTCCCCAATTTCTGATAGCTTAAAATATTTTTAAAACACCACCTAACAAAAAGCTCATAGTTCAGGAAAGAAACTTGAAAAGTTTCAATGAAGTTGCATTTAGAAATGATTTTCACAAAATTAGTTCAGAGAGAGAATTAAAAATATACCCTGATAATTGTACTCAGTCTCTTGAGAATACTATTTCCTACATTAATCTACTGCTTGATATTTATGCGCCTTTGAAAAAGCTTAACAAAAAAAACATTAAATTCAAGACTAAACCATGGATATCAAAAGAACTCAAACATTCTATTCAGCACAAAAATAATCTCTTTAACAAATATATTAGGTCTAAAAATCAAACAAATAAAACCATATTTCATAATGAGTATAAAATATTTCGTAATTTTTATTTCGTAAAAACTCAAAGAAAGCAAAAGAAAATACTATGATAATTATTTTACTGAAAACATAAAAAATATAAAAGCAACCTGGAAAGGTATCAAAAACATTATTAATATTAAAAGTAACTCTCAAACAACTCCTAATGTAATCATACATAACAATAAAACAATAATATACCCTTTTGATATTTGTAATGCTTTCAACAACTACTTTACTAACATTGGTAAGGATGTTCAGGCAACAATTCCTTCATCCATAAATCATTTCACATATTACTTATCAAATCCTTCTCAAAAATCTTTCTTTATAAAACCTACTGGCGAACATGAAATTTCAAATATTATCAACTCCTTAGACGCAAATAAAGTTTCTGGACCAAACGGTATGCCAGTTAAAATTCTAAAGCTATTAAAAACAGAACTTTCAAGAATTCTTTCTAATATTTTTAATATTTTGTTTTCAAGTGGTATTTTCCCAGAAAACCTAAAAACAGCCAAAGTTATACCTATTTTTAAAAATGATTCAAAACTATTAATGTTAAACTACAGGCCAATTTCCCTCCTCTCTAATATTGATAAAATTCTTAACCGCTTAGACAAATTCTTCAATGAAAATAAACTGTTTTTTGAATTACAATTTGGTTTTCGAACTAATTACTCTACATCACTTGCTTTACAAAGTCTAACAGAAAAAATTAAAAATTCTCTGGATGAAGGAATGTTTGGATCTGGCATTTTTATCGACCTTCAAAAGGCATTTGACACTGTAGATGTTGACATTCTACTTTATAAGCTATCCTACTATGGTATTAGAGGAGTTTCAAACTCTTGGTTCAAATCTTTCCCTACTAATAGAACACAATTAGTATCCATTAGTGGAGTGAGCTCAGACCTGAACAATATCAAAATAGGTGTTCCTCAGGGATCTGTCCTTGGCCCTTTACTACTTCTTATTTATATTAATGACATGTCTAAAGCTTTAAAACTTTGTAGAGTCCAACACTTTGCGGATGATACAAACCTTCTCTATTTTAATAAGTTTATAAAAAAAATCAACAAATATGTTAACTATGATCTTAAAAAAACTATGCAACTGGTTAAATGCCAACAAAATATCTCTTAACTCTAAAAAAACTGATCTAATATTGTTTAAAAGTCGTCACAAAAATTAGATCAACAGCTCAAAATTAAGTTAAATGGGAAAAAACTTTGGTGCAAAAAATTTGTAAACTACTTGGGTATAAGGCTAGACAAAAACTTAAATTGGACTTTACATTGTAATGGCTTATCTTATAAGTTGAATAGATCCCTTGCCATTCTGTCAAAGCTAAGGAATTTTATATAACAAAAAACACTAAAATCTATTTACTATGCTTTGTTTCACTCTCACCTAACATATTGCCTACTATCATGGAGTCAAAACTTAAGTATTGTAAATTGCCTGTTTATTATGCAAAAAAAAGCAATCAGGATTATTGAATTTCTACCAAAAAATTCACACACATTCACATCTTTTAAAGCACTACAAATTTTAAAAGTACATGATATAATTAAAATTGAAGATTGTTTATTTATTCACAGCTGCCTAAACAAAAAGCTGCCTCCTATATTTAATAAATGGTTTACTCTATGCAGTTCAGTTAGCTGTCAACTTACAACAAATTCTTGTAGAGGTGCACTGAGTGTGCCAACATATATTACTAAATTATATGGTAAACATTCCTTTAAATACTCTGCATTAATAGACTGGAATCAAATTCAAAATAAATTAAAGTTATTCCCTTTTAACAAAATTAAAAAATATGTTCTCAAAACCAAATTAAAATACTACTTGCTGCATCAAGATTAATTGAAACAACAGTAGTATCGCTGGTGATAAATTATATATTACCATAAAAAATGGAAAAGTTATTCATATGAATGTTAACTAATTTCAACCTTCTGTGGGTGTATTATTTATTTTATTTTTATTTTTTATTTTTTTGTTGTCTTTTTTGTTTTATTTGTTCATGGCTGCTCTCCTCGGTTTAGCCTAGCTATATGAGAGTGTAGACTATATATATATTTTTTATAACTTATAACATTCTTATGTAAAACATCTATATTTCTGGTAAATATATTGCTTTTTGCTGTTGTTGTTGTTATAAATATTATATTAAAAAAGTCATAATTATAAAGAAAAGAAAATTTTACATAGAAAAGTTTTTATTCTTATATTCAATGATTTTAAAAGCATGTAAAGTTCCATAATAAACTGTTGGAATTGTTATAAAATGTTATAACGAAAAACTGTAAACAAAAAATCAGAAAGTTGTGGAAAATGATAAAATGAAGGCAAATTCAATAGTCAACTCAATTCATAGAAACCCGACTCACAAAGATATTTAGCTACAAAGTTTAAATGCAGTAGATCTTTTATTCAAAGAGTATTGAAAAACGAAAATTTGAAAGCATATTTGAAGAAAAAAAAGGTCACAAATAAATGAAGGCAGTTGGATATCAGCTCAATGCTTTTAAGCAATCAATATCAATCTAAATATTTAAAAAATCAATACAAATATCAGTCAAAATATTTTAAAATATCAGTCAAAATATTTTAAAGCGTCTGATATATAAATTTAAAATATATTTAAGTACATTTGAGTTGAAAAACTCACTTCTAAATTACTTGTATAGCAGGCTATTTACAGTTGTGGTTTTAAAACCTCTCTTTTTGTAACAAATCAATTTTTGACATCAGATCTATGTGACATGGAAAAACAAATTCTTCCTCTAATTAAAAAGCAAAAAAACCAACTTTATTATGGCCAGATCTGGTATTAATCCACTATTCCAAAAAAGTAATGGGGCAGTATATAAAAAAATAGAGTCAACGTTGTTTCAAAGGATGCTAACAAACCAAACTGTACTGAGCAATGAGTCATCAAACCTTACTGGGCTATTGTGAAAGAAATACTGAGGAAAAGAAGTAAATGTGCTAACTATGAGTAAAATTATGGAGATAATGGTAAAATTATGGAGATGATGGTGGGTACTTAACAAAAAATTAAAATACTTAAGGTATAATTTATGTAAAAACAAAATTGTTAGAACTGATTTTTTTGGTTTTTGAGAAAACACAGTTTGAAAATGCCTGAATTTTAACTGATCATGAACAGACCAACTTTTTTTTTTCCTGCATTTTCAAACTTATAACATATTTCTTTTTTAATATAGGGTTTACATTTAGAGCTTCAAAAAATATAGGATTTACATTTAGAGCATCCAAAAATATAGAGTTTATATTTAGAGCATCCAAAAATAGTAATAAAAACAGCTAAATCGGTACAGCCATCAGCTTATCTTTACAAAAATTGTAAAGTTGGTAAATGACAAAAAATGTGCACTAAGAAAACTAACAAAACTCTGGGGATATTTCTGAAGAAATAAAAGCAGAATCTGTCTCCTAAGTTAAATGAAATGTAAAAACACTGTTAAATAAAATGTAAAAGAAACTACACAGTAGTTTTATTATACATGTACCTTCTCAGAAGCATTTAATAATAAAAAAAAAAAAAAATTATTTTAAGTAAAAAAAACGTAAACTTGTTTTTAATAGGTTTTTTTATCGTAAAATAATTGTTTGCAATATTGCTACAAAAAATAATATATATTATGCAATAATTCAAACCTCTGACTACATCATAATCACCAATTAGACATGCAGTGTGTAAATCCAACAGCACAACCTCCTCTTGTTCTTCTTGCTGAATGAGAGAGCTGAAACTTGACATTGCATACAAATCTTCGTCTTTTACAAACGTCATTGCAAACTAATTTATTATTTTAAGATTGCAAAAATATAATAATAATAAATAGCTGTAAAATTAACAAAATAAAAGGATTAAAAAGAAAAACATAACTATTATAAAATCTATGTCTTTATATAGTAGATGAAGAATGACATTAAACTAACACCAACATAATAAAAGAAAAAATGTAAACAAAGAAAAAAAATGATGCAGTTTTTAGTTATGTAAACAATTTTTGTATCAGCCAGTTGATATCAATTTTAAATGGATCTCATATCAACAACAAAAAAAAGCGAAAGCAATATTTTATAAAAATTTTATAAATAATTATTCTTTTATAAAGTAACCATTATTTTAAATTTCACTGCCTAAAAAATTATATTTTCAGAAGAAAAATTTATATATTTTTTTTCTCATTTTTTATAAAATGATGATTATTTTAGAACTTTTTATAAAATTTCTTTTGAGACATGATATACTTTTAAATTACTTTTTTATTTTGATAATATTCCTGTCTGATTTTTAAGGAACTTAAGCTACCCTTAAAAAAATTTTTTATTCAAAAATTTTTTAATTCCTGTATTTTTTTTTTATATAACATATTTAGAGGGTAGGAGCAGTTCAAGTTTTTATAACTATAAGTTGGAAGATGAACCCAGATTTTGGTTTAATGGCCAGATTTGGACAATGATCATGGCCAATTAAAAGCTAATTGAAAGCAACAATCAGCAAAATGTTTAAAAATATGTAATTTTTATGCAATTCAAAAAAGATATCATGAGTTGTTAAAGTAGTTACAGGCGATGAGAAGTGCTGTAACATTGTTACAGGAGAAGTGCTCTATGATGATTACACCAGAAAGGGCCAATGGTGCAACCCTCATTAATATTGTCTTACTAATTTAAATCAGCAAACAATTTATAACATTAGATATGGTCTGAAAAATAACTAATATAAATTTAAGAAAAAAAAATTCATTATTAAACTTATTGACAATTTAATCACTCAATTAAATTGTCAGGATACTTCTAAATTCTAATTTTAGGTTTCTGTTTAAATTTATTGAACTTCCGACAACCATACAAAAAAGTATATAATATTATATTCACCTAAACATAAATTTAATGATTATTCTCTTTGAGGTTATTTTTAAAAAATCCTCTACTTTAAAAAAAGATCTTAAAACCGTGTCTCACAACTATTAGATCAATCTTCCCTAAAACTTTGTTTGGCAACTATCAGAATAATATTCCATAATTATGTCTAATAACTGGTTGGTAAAAATCATAACTGCTTGAACAATGGGACCAACTCAATTACAAATACAAATCAGTAAAAAGTTGGAGTTAAAGGTAAATCTCAACAAACTTGCTTAACACTTTTTAATGTTATAACCACCTGTTATAGTACTTGTATTAAATGTAGCAACAGAAAAAGAGTAACCTTGTCAAAACCTTATATATTTCACAATGGGATATACTAACAGTAAGCTTTTATAAATATTAGTAAGTTTCTATAAAAAAAGAAAAAAAAAATTCAAGCCTTTTACTGCTCTGAAACTTGATCACCAAATCAAATAATGCATCAAAATGTAAACAATTCATTGTAATTTCATTGTAAACAATTAAGTGTAAAATCAAAATCATGTGCTATGTTACTTTATTTATTAAAAAATTCTGTTCTTTATCTAGTTATATTACTTTGAAAGTTCAAGAAGTCAATACTTTTTGTTAGTTACCTAAATTTAGATTTTAAATAATAAATTAAATTTAGAATTTTGTTAAAAACCTAAATTTAGAAGAATATTCTACTATAACTTGCTCTACTTGTGAAAGATTAAATTACAGCCAACACAATGTCAGCTATGTTGGAGAAACCTTCAGACATTTGACAACAAGGATAAACGAGCACCTTACAAGTGACAAACAAAACCATTTTTATAAACATTTAAATTCATCTTTAAATTGTAAAAAACTAACTAATCACGGTTATTTTAAGATTTCAGACACTGTCCCTACAAATCTTCTTTGAACAAAGGTTTTATATCTAATTTTATTAATATTTTTTATTTGTTTGGGTTTTTCCCATGTCATAATTTGAAATATAATTTTTATTGGTTTGTAACAAGTTTTTGTCCATTAGTATTTCTCTGTTGTCAGTTTTAAACTATATACCAAAGTTCTTATTATAAAATTAAATCTTTTGAAAATGTAACTATGAAGCATGTCAAGAATAAAAAATATAGTGTTTTCCTTAAAAATACTTTTTTTGCTAAAAAATGCATACATGCAATATATATATATATATATATATATATATATATATATATATATATATATATATATATATATATATATATATATATATATATATATATATATATATATATATATATATATTATAATTTTTATTTGAAATTGTAAATTATTTTAGGTGCTGAAAGACCTTATAACTGCTTTATTGATGGTTTTTCAGAAGTTAACTTTTAAACAACCTTGTAACTATCGCAATCAAAAACTCAAGTTTCGGTCTGCAGTCTAAAAGGTTCATTTAGAGCAAATTTCTAAAAAATGTATTTGGGAAACTTCACAAATTTTAATCATAAGTTGAATCCTTTGATTTGACTGTAACTTTGTTTATTTTAAAAATACAATCAATTCGTAATGAATATTCTAAATTGAAATGATCTAAAATTTTTAAAATCATTTTTCAATATAGTAGTAATTGGATGAGGTTTTTTGAAGGTTGCATGTATTGTGTTTGATTCTGATACTTGCATATTTGAATACTTGCATTCATTTAGAAAGTATCAATATGGTGGAGTTCAATATATACAGATCTTAGCTTAGATAAGGACATTTCTGAATTTAACAGGAATTTAGGAATGAAAAAATAAGCTGGTTGAAGTATAATAATCTATTGATTTTGACTTAAAATGTGCAAATGCGATATTAAAAAAAGTTAAAAAGCTGTTGTTCATTTTAACACAAGAAGAATACCTATTTTTACCTTCTAAGAAGAATACCTGTTAAAATCTTTTTGGTTTTATCAGAAACAGATCCAAATTTTTTTTGTTTAAGCTAACTTCACACATTTTTAATTTTTAACAAGTATGATACAAACTCTAAACTTTTGTATATTTATACTGGTGTTGAATGAGAATATTAAACATAGATAAAGTGGAATTATCAAAATTGTCTAATGCAAAAATGGAAAAATATGAGAGTTATACTGACAATAACTATTTTTAATGCCAATAAAAAATTATTAGGTTTTGTCTTAAAAATATAGTACTCTCTATTTTCAGTGTTTAATCCTTTCAAAATTTGGAGCAATATGAAAAATAACTCAATGCACAATAAAAAAATATTGCACAATGTAATATAACTTGCTGTGAAACAAGCAACACTTCAGGATAAACAATTTTATGCACATTGAAAATAATAAAACAAATAAAACATAATGATTTAGAACTAAAAACAAAATAAAATGTTTATCAAATATGAACTTCTATCGATCTTATAAATAGAATAAAAATAATTTTATTTTAACAGCGAAAAGAACACTAAAAATGTGATAAATGGGAACTAAGGTATGTATAGTTAAAAAAAAAAAAAAAAAAAAAAACGATAACAGATTACTTCTTTTAAACTCTAAGAATTTTTTAAAAATATGTTTAAAAAAGAAAAAAAACTTTGACTGCATGATAAACTCATAAACCATTTGAAATAATCAACTATATATATATATATATATATATATATATATATATATATATATATATATATATATATATATATATATATATATATATATATATATATATATATATATATATATATATATATATATATATATATATATATATATGATTTCTAATACTTTATTTCTTCCTCTACTAATATAAACTAAGAAAATTTTACAACTTGGTCAATTATATTTATTTTTTAAGCAACTGAATTTATAAAAAGCTACAACTAAAAAATTCAACCAACAGCAAAGATTACAAAATGCAATAGAATATTAGACAAAAATTTGAATGAAGAAATTACTTATTTTTGGAATAAAAAATGAGAATTCATCATTAAGCGCTTTATATACAGTTTAATAAATTTTTTAGAATAATATAGATATAAATACGAGATTCTCTTTTTCAAGTCTTTTCTACGTCAATCTACGATCAGTGCTTTTTACTGATTTGTTTTTGAATGTCATAAAACTACAAACCAGTTAGATAATATAAAACAAACAGTTGTTACAAAATGAATACAGAAATAACTGTATAGATTTTTCACTGTTAGCTATCTGACTCATCATCATTTAAAGAAGCATCATTTGATATATCTAAATGTACTACACTATCTGATAATAATTTTGGAACTTGAATGGCATCACTCTCAGATCCACAGTAACGCAATGGGCGATGATTATCTGAAAACTCATCATTGTATTGCTTAGGAAGATGTTCAACAACTTCATCTTCAGGTTCTTCCTCTTCACTCTAAGATAAATTTTAAGTTTTTTATTCCAAGTGTCTATTTATATATATATATACATATATATATATATATATATATATATATATATATATATATATATATATATATATATATATATATATATATACATATACATATACATATACATATATATATATATATATATATATATATATATATATATATATATATATATATATATATATATATATATATATATATATATATATATATATATATATATATTTATATATATATATATATTTATACATGTATCTATGTATCTATGTATACATATATATATACATATATATTTATATATGCACATGTATGTATATATGTATGTATGTATGTATATACATATATATATATATATATATATATATATATATATATATATATATATATATATACACATGTATCTATGTATCTATGTATGTATATATATATACATATATATTTATATATGCACATGTATATATATATTTATGTATGTATTATATGTGGTAGTGGTGTAGTGGTAGAGCGCTCACTTCATAAGCGAGAGGTTCCGAGTTCAATCGCCACCACGCCCCTGGTAGTACCGCGCTCAACTTGTTTCTCCGCGCAGCGGCCTTGTTCACCAAGGTTCGTGTTTCAGAGTTATAGAGTTGAGAGAGGGTTATAACCACAATTAAGTAGCCTCCTCGTCTGTAGTGGTTTTCTCGGCCTTGGGGAGTTGAAATAACAAAAAAAAAAAAAAAAAAAAAAAAAAATGTATGTATGTATGTATGCATGCATGTAAGTGTAAATATAAGAATATAGAAAATACTTAAGTCGTTAGAGAAGTTTGTAGAACTTCATCTATAAAGTTATAATAAGACTATAATAACATCTATAAGGAAATAATTAAATATTTATATATCATCTTAAACTGTGTTTAACTATGAACATTTTAAGTACTTGTTGAAATATTTTGAATGTTTATTAAAAAAGTTATTAATAAATTATAAACTAGAAAAAATCTAAAAATGGAAAAACTTGAATACCGAGCATATATTAAAACTCGTGCTCTACTTGGAGTTTCAGCACAAGCCATAACCGATGAATTGGTATTAGTTCATGGTGACCAAGCTCCAAAATATAGTACAGTTGCCAAGTGGGCTACTTTATTTAAAGATGGTAGAGAGAGTTTTGAAGATGATCCTCGCTTAGGACACCCTCAAACCACATATACAGCTGAGAATTTTGAACATGTGCGAGCGATTATTAAAGAAAATCCGCATGCAACACATGATATAATTGAAGCTCTGACATCAATTAATCGTTTTACAATCAACGAAATCATTCACAACACACTTAAAAAGAGAAAACTAACATCACATTGGATACCCTATGAGTTAACCAATCAAAATCAAAAGAATAAAGTTGAGGCGTGTAAGGATACATCTTCTTTAAAACAACAGGTGTTGTTCGTTTGGATTATGTTAAAAAGGGAGACACCATTACTAGTGAATATTATATAAAAAACTGTTTGAAATCTCTTAAATGCAAAATAAACAAGCAAAGATCTAAAATAGGCACTCACAATTTTTCCATGATAACGTTCAACCCCATATAACTGAAACTGTCACAAATTGTCTAAACCAAGCTGAAATTACAATAATTCGCCACCCACCATACTCACCAGTCTTAACTCCATCTGATTATTGGCTACTCAACTTGATAATAAAAAATCTTGATGACGATACTGATGTCAAAAGGCAAAAAACTCCCATAACGAAGCTACTTGAAAGTATACCCAAAAAAGAGTATAAAAAAACGTTTCACAAATGGCTTGAAATGATGCAACTTTGTATAGATAATGATGGACATTATTTTGAACATTTAATAAAATAAAATAAAAAAAAACACTTTTTTTTTTATAGGGGAGTTCTACGAACTTTCCTAACGACGTAAGTATATTTGTATTACCATGTATAATATTGTATACTTAAAAGAGTGCTCGATAGATAGTATATATAGAGCTAGATAGTATATATGTTACTGTTTTTTTATTTTTTTATTTGCATTCACTCCCAACAAGGCTGCAAGCAACCACTATTAAGTTGGGAGTTACTAGGAAAAAAAAAGAACAGAGTTATAGAGCAAGGAAACGGTTGACAGAAGACTTGAAAAGTTGAAGGTTGTATGAGTCAGGAAAACATGAAGATGGGAGAGAGTTCCAAAGGATTGAAGTGTGGGGAAAAAAACTAGATGAATAAAAGTTTTTAGAGCATGCAGGGACAGATACAGTTAACGAATGAGACTTAGCTGAATGACGAGTAAAACGAGAATGAATTTTAGTTGATGGAACTAGAGATGATAACTCCTTTGAGCAGTGACCATGATAGTATCTGTAGAAAAGAGAAAGAGATGCAACTTTACGACGATGGGAAAGAGGTTCAAGCTTAGCAGATAGTCCAGGTCCAACAACATTTACAATGCGTTTTTGGACCTTGTCAAGAAGAGAAAGTGAATCGCTAGAAGAACCAGCCCAAATATGACAACTGTATTCCATACAAGGACGAATAAGAGATTTGTAGAGGTAGAGAATGGAATCAGAAGTAAGGAAATAGCGAGCACGATAAAGAGAAGCAACCTTAGCAGAAGCTAATTTAGCAATCGATTGTATATATGGTTTCCATGAAAGGTCAGTAGTAAGCGATAATCCAAGAAGACGTAAAGAGGACGACTCAGTAAGAGGATTGCCATTCATTAATATAGGAATGTTGACCATATTACGGTAGTTGTTTGCAGTAAGCAATTGGGTTTTTTTAGAGTTAAAATTCACAAGCCACTGTGAACCCCAATCTATTACTGAAGTGAGATCAGATTCAAGATCAGCTGCTTGTTCTAGGC